ATTTAGTTTGTATTAGTATCGTTCGATTTAAAGTTTGTATCTTTTGTATATAAATATATTGTAAGAAAAACCGACTCGTTGAATATTTGAGAAACTCAGTGCATTGCTTTATTGATCTTTATTCATATACTATATGGTGACAAGGGGGCGTCCAAAAATCGTTCACTAGGACAGACCATATTTACGCAAATGACGAATGTAGAGACCGCTTGATACAAGTTTTATTTACTTTTACATTTACTGCCGCATTTTGTGTTGTGGAAATATAAAAGTATTGCGTAAATGCCGCGGACAGTTTCAGTTCTTTTAATTATCGTCTTTGTTTAATTATTTTTCATTTTCATAAAATTAATGAATTAACGAATCGAATCGTCAATTCTTCCCAACTTCTCCTCAGTTCTTCCTCAAGGTTATCCTCAGTTTCTTTTCAAGTTCTTCTCGGGTTCCAGGTTCTCCTCATGTTCTCCTCCTGTTCTCTGGAGGAATTATATCCTTCTATATGTTCTCATCAGGTTCTCCTCTCCTTCTAGGTTCTCCTCAGGTTAACAACCTCAGGTTCTTCTCAGGTTCTCCTAGGGTTCCAAGGTGCTCCTCGTGTTCTACTCAGGTTTCCCTCATAGTTCTCGACAGGTTCTCCTCATGTTCTCCTTTAAAGGTTCTCCTTAGGTTCTCCTCGGTTCTTCTCAGGTACTGTCCTCCTAGGTTCACCTCAGGTTCACCTCAGCTGTGCTCCATCATGTTCTCCTCAGGTTCTCCTCGAAGGTTCTTCACAGGTTCTCCACTTCTCCTCAGGTTCTCATCAGGTTTCAAAGTTCTTCTCAGGTTCTCATCGTCAATTCCAAGGTTCTCCTCAGATTCTCCTCAGGTTCTTCTCAGGTTTTCCTTAGGTTCTCCTCAGGTTCTCCTCGGGTTCCAAGGTGCTCCTCATGTTATCCTTGGGTTCTCCTCAGGTTTTCCTCTGGTTCTCGTGCAGGTTCTCCTCAGTTTCTCCTCAGGTTATCTTCAGGTTCTCCTCAGGTTATCTTCAGGTTCTCCTCAGGTTATCTTCAGGTTCTCCGAAGGTTCTCCTCAGGTTCTTTTCAGGTTTTACTCAGGTTCTCCTCAGGTTCTTCTTATAGGTTCTCCTTGGGTTCCAAGGTGCTCCTCGTGTTCTCCTCAATTCCTCATGATTCTCGACCGGAATTCTCCTCAGGTTCTCTTGAGGTTCGCTTCAGGTTCTTCTCGTGTTCTGCTTGGGTTCTCCTCAGGTTTTCCTCATGGTTCTCGACAGGTTCTCCTCAGGTTCTCCTAAGGTTCTCCTTAGGTTCTCCTTAGGTTCTTCTCAGGTTCTTCTCAGGTACTCTCCTCCTAGTACTCCTCAGGTTCTCCTCAGGTTCTCTACAGGTTCTCCCAGGTTTTCCTCGGGTTCTCCTCAGGTTCTTTTTAGGTTCTCCTCGGGTTCCAAGGTTCTCCTCATGTTCCCCTCAGGTTCTCCTTTGTGTTATCCTCAGCTGTGCTCCATCATGTTCTCCTCAGGGAAACCTCATGTTCTCTTAAAAGGTTCTCCTCAGGTTCTCCTCGAAGGTTCTTCACAGGTTCTCCACTTCTCCTCAGGTTCTCATCAGGTGTCAAAGTTCTTCTCAGGTTCGGGAATTCCAAGGTTCTCCTCATGTTCTCCTCAGGAAAACCTCAGGTTCTAGTCAGGTTCTCCTCAGGTTCTTCACAGGTTCTCTACTTCTCCTCAGGGTCTCATCGGGTGTCAAAATTCTTCTCAGGTTCTCATCGGGTTCCAAGGTTCTCCTCATGTTCTCCTTGGGTTCTCCTCATGTTCTCCTCAGGTTCTCCTCAAGTTCTCCTCAGATTTACTCAAAGGGGTCTCTGCATGCATGATAACAAAGTTGAAAATTAATTATATTAAGGTATACCCCCCCCCCTCAAATCTTGTCGGGGGATTCCCTTATTATCTTCCCCGTCGAATTTTCTCTGAAAAATAAAAAGGCTGCTTCGTTGAAGCAAAATCGCACGATTAATAAACCCTGCCAGGTGGATTTAAGGCTAGATTATCTACCCTAGTGTTTCATTAGAGGTGTAAATCGTGCTATTAACGTTAATGCCGCGATGTCTTAATAGCAGGATAAATAAATCCACCCGCACGGGTGGATTTACCCTAGATTATCTACCCTAAGGCCGGTTCAAGAAACCTGAAAAAACCCTTAATAGCGCTCTTAACTAATCCTGGTTGGTAGGATCATCTACCCTACGCGTTCATAAGTTGTGCTAATACCGGTATTAACAGAAATACCAGTTTTACTAAGAGCGGTGTTAGCTAATCTACCCGCAGGGTAGATTTAGGTAGGATGATCTACCCTAAATAACCAGTTCTACCAGTATTAATTTGGTTTGGATTCGATATTCTCGCAACCTCATGAAATACAGGGATGTTTAAAATACAGGGATGCATAAAAAATGAAGAAATACTTCTTATTTTACTTGACCCGGCCATAAATCGTAGGATAAACCTACGATTTATTAATCGTAGGTTTATCCTACGATTAAGATACTTGTCTGACGAAGTGGCCTAAAGTAAAATGCAGTAAACTTAAACTGTACTTTTTATGAATACGACATTTTTAAATACCTGTGGTTAGTCAGCTGATCTCGGAGTGTACACATTTCCCGTGAGTTCAGCGTCTGCCATTTTTGTTGAGGAAAGGATCCGAGTAAGATGGAGTGTGAGGACGTAATTCAATGATTTAGTCCTTTATCACGTACTCAAAGTGTCCTGAAGTGTCTCAATCATTTCAAATTTTTGTATACTTTTAATTGTGACAGAAAATTGCCGGATGTTACATCGTTATTTTCCTAAATTCAGACTAAACATCTTTATTACTAAATGGTTAATTTTACATTATGAAAGTGCAAGCTTATGTCTGCCCTTGAAAGCAATTTCTGCAGTTTTAAACTGCAATCGGATACTAGGACAGGCTTGGGGGGGCTGAGCGCTGCGGTCGAGCGCTGCGGCTAGGACAGGCTTGGGGGGGCTGAGCGCTGCGGTTAGGAGGCCGTTATTATATTTAACCTAACCTAACCTTTTCAGGGGTTCAAAAATCGTTCTCAAGGAAATTACTTGCTTCATATTATTTTCGGTTGTGAATGTATTTGTGTTTTTATTTTCAGAAAGAGAATGGCCTCCTCCTTAGTAACCAGGAAACTCTTGAAGGATGCCTGCCAGGTTCAGGTCTACGCCGCCAGGTATTATTTTATTTGAAAATTAATTTAAAGCATTCACTCTACATTTTTCAATGTATTGTAATTGAATTAATTGCAATACCAATGTTTATTGCGATTGCTGATGTTTTGTGCGATTTAAAGGTTTTCATGCGATTTTAATTTGTCAATTGATTCCAAGGTTTTATTAAAATCCATATGAACACTGCAATTTAAAGGTACGATTCGGGTCCGTTCTAGTATACGGGTTTTGGACCCCCCCCCCCCCCTCCTATCAATTTTGTACATGACCATTTATTCTTCAGCAAAAATTATTATAAGTAGAATTGGCAATCAACGAACTTGCATGTTTTCCAATTTTTTTCATACATTTTATCCCAAAAAAAACGCTTTAATTTCCCCTAAAACCATTTCATCTGGTATATATTTTAAAGGGGGGGGGGGGGGTTTCTCGAAAATAACCCATGAACTCAAACCTTTTGAAAATCTTTATCTCGACAACATCCTTAAATATATTTTTATCCATACAGTCCTAACATGAAGTATGATTAAAACCGGATCCAAACATTTTGACTCCTGGACCGAATTCTAGGGGATACATACCAACCATAACCTGCTGTAAATCCACGTTTTCATTTCAACACTAACTAGTGAACGATTTTCAATAATTTCTGAAAATCCTAATGGTTCATTGAGTTTTAAGCATGAAAATATAAAGATAATATTAATTTTAAAATAAAAATAGGAAACTTCTATTTTGTTCCAAAGATCAGTAAATACTAAATATCGAAGAAAAAATGAATGACCTGAGGCCGAACTTAAAAAATTTGAGGCGCGGCTTAAATTTGAGACTCTGACTTATAAGTGTAATTAATGTTTCAAGATTTAAGCCTGCACTCAATTGAAAACGGTTTTTGGCGGATTTGAGAGGCGGCTCAGATTCATTAAAAAGACAGAAAGTTTATATTGACTACTATGTTTATGTGAATCCATGTTTTTCAAAAACTTTATTTAAATCAAAATTGAATTCGAAAGTTGTCTTCCTTGTATTTATATAATCGCCTATCACTGATATGAAAAATGGTAATCTACAATTAGTTTTGCGTCATAAAATAAACCTTTTTTATGTTTCAGGGCCTATGGCGGTGGGCACGGACACTCGGACGTCCCCATCCCTCTGCAGAAAGTGAATATTGGTAAACGAGAAATCGTCGGCTACGGAGTTAACGGCGAAGCCAACTACATCGATACCGTCATGGCCCCCTTCCCCGCCATCAGGTTGGTTTAAATATCTACAACATTTTTTGGTGAAAATAAATTCTAACGAGTTATAATTTGACGAAAGAATTTAACAATGGGGTTATTGTTTCAAGTATTCAAGCGCATACAACCCTAATATTCCGATTATCTGTGAAATAAGTTGAATTTCAAGTGGAGGAGGGGGGAGGTGATTTTTCAAGAAAATACATACCCTGTTGTAATCTGCTGTAATTAGCGTTATATCTAAGTGATTTGTCAGTGCTAATTGATGGCAATTTTCATCTCACAACGGTACCCTAGAAACCTTTATCTGATCTAAACTCATAAAACAAAACAATGTTTCCCTTGACTCGAAAAGAGTTAAATTCTGATAACATCTCCATTGCTTCTCATAAACAAGAAATGCGCAACATGAATATCTAATTTATGCTTAGTTAGACAAAGCTTTTCGGGAAACCATTGTAACTTTAGCATTGCCATATTTGCATAGAGGCAGGGGTCACATGAAAATAACAGTCCCTTTAACTAACTTTTTTTTCAGGTTCAGGGAACAGTCCCTTAACCAACTATTTTTCAGGTTTAAGGAGGATATTGGAGAGATTGCTAAGCTGAGAGAGGAGACTGGAAGAAACTAACGCACTCCTGTTCAGGTTTAAGGAGGATGTTGGAGAGATTGCTAAGCTGAGAGAGAAGGAGAGAGGAGACTGGAAGAAATTAACCCTTGAGGAGAAGAAAGCTCTTTACAGAGCTTCTTTCTGCCAAACACTGGCTGAGGTCGAAGCACCAACCGGAGAATGGAAATCAGTAAGAATAATTCTATTAAAATTGTCAACTTTTTGTTTAGGAATTGGGTTTTCTTGTGAGGTTGGGTTGAAAACGGGGAAAACCGGATTACGAAAGGAACGGGTAATTAAGGAAAGGAAGGAATGAAAGTGAAAGTTTAAAAAAGGTGAAACTTAGAAAGTAAACTGTGAAACTTAAGAAATTATGGGAAAACTAAACAAAGAATACAAAAAGGAAACAAAGAACAGGAAAACTAAACAAAGAATGGGAAACCAAACATAGAATGGGAAAACTAAACAAAGAATGGAAAACCAAACATAGAATGGGAAAACTATACAAAGAATGGGAAATCTAAACAAAGCATGGGAAAACTAAACAAAGAATGGGAAAACTAAACAAAGAATGGGAAAACTAAACAAAGAATGGGAAAACTAAACAAAGAATGGGAAAACTAAACAAAGAATGGGAAAACCAAACAAAGAATGGGAAAACCAAACAAAGGATGGGAAAACTAAACAAAGAATGGGAAAACTAAACAAAGATTGGGAAAACTATACAAAGAATGGGAAAACCCAACAAAGAATGGGAAAAACTAAACAAAGAATGGCAAAACTAAACAAAGAATGGAAAACCAAAGAAAGAATGGGAAAACTAAACAAAGAATACAAAAAGGAAACAAAGAATGGGAAAACTAAACAAAGAATGGAAAACCAAACATAGAATGGGAAAACTATACAAAGATTGGGAAAACTATACAAAGAATGGGAAAACTAAACAAAGCATGGGAAAATTAAACAAAGCACGGGAAAACTAAACAAAGAACGGGAAAACTAAACAAAGAATGGGAGAATTAAACATAGAATGGGAAAACTAAACAAAGAATCAGAAAACTTAACAACGAATGGGAAAACTATACAAAGAATGGGAAAACTATACAAAGAATGAGAAAACTATACAAAGAATTGGAAAACTAAACAAAGAAGGGGAAAACTGAACAAAGAATGGGAAAACTGAACAAAGAATGGGAAAACTGAACAAAGAATGGAAAACTGAACAAAGAATGGGAAAACTGAACAAAGAATGGGAAAACCAAACAAAGAATGGGAAAACCAAACAAAGAATGGGAAAACTAAACAAATAATGGGAAAACCAAACAAAGAATGGGAAAACTAAATAAATGGCAGGAAAACTAAACAAAGAATTGGAAAACTAAACAAAGATTGGGAAGTTACATAAAATGCTTAAAGTGAATTTAAAACTTAAGTTTGGATAAACGAAGCCATGGATTGAGAAGAGTTGAATTGTGTAAATGAACCAACTGGGAATCGGTTCAATGATTGAATTCTTAAAGACGAATACAAATTTTTTTTCAGAGGACTGTTCTCTAAATTATAAGAATATTTGAATTGGGTTGGCCCAGTTTAGGAATTCAAAATTCAGTTTATCGTTAGTCTAGTGTTTTATTTGGTTTTGTTCCAGTGCTTAGGATCCATTCAATTTTGATACGGATCCGGATCCTGGATCCGCACTAGAAAAAAATGGATCCGGATCCAGGTCATTTCTTTAAGATTTACTGAATTTTTTTTAACTAAAAAATTGTTTCAATTTTTTGGTTTTCGCTTATTTTAATCCTAAAACTTGATGAACTATTCAGAAATGAGGAAATTTTTAAACCTCATTTTTAAAAGTTCAGATTTGGGATTTTGGAGTAAAAAAGATTTTTTTGCAGTTTTTGGTTGATATTTTACCCCTTGGATCCGGATCCGTGGATCAGCATATTTTTGCGGATCCGGATCCAGGAAGCCAAAATCTTGCGGATCCAATGGATCCGGATCCTAAGGACTGTTTTGTTCACAGTGTTCCTTAAGAGCAGAAAGGTTCAACTTGGTATTTTGGAGCTTTAACTTGATCCTGATTCTCATGCATCAGGGTGATTCAACAAGTTTCCGTTAAATTTTCAGACACACCCTGTACAGCTGGAGATGCCTTTCACATGATAAAAGATAAGATAAAAGATAAAAATAAGTAAAAAAAAATAGAAAAAATTCGAACATTTTTTTTTGCTAAAATAATTCAGTAAATGCGAATCCTGGATCCGGATCCGTATCAAAATTAAATGGATCCTAAGCACTGATATAATCTACCTGTGCAGATAACTATATAACTCTATATAATCGATATGTGCAGAGTATCGGTATCTAGGGATATATCTGGATATATCTGTTTATAATCTTCTGTATACAATCTATCTGTGCAGATAATTGGATTAGTCCTGGTGGGTGTGAGTATCGGTATCTGGGGATATATCTGTATATAATCTATCTGTGCAGATAACTGGATTAGTCCTGGTGGGTGTGAGTATTGGTATCTGGGGATATATCTGTATATAATCTATCTGTGCAGATAATTGGATTAGTCCTGGTGGGTGTGAGTATTGGTATCTGGGGATATATCTGTATATAATCTATCTGTGCAGATAACTGGATTAGTCCTGGTGGGCATGAGTATTGGTATCTGGAGATATATCTGTGTATAATCTATCTGTGCAGATAACTGGATTAGTCCTGGTGGATGTGAGTATTGGTATCTGGGGATATATCTGTATAATCTATCTGTGCAGATAACCGGATTAGGCCCGCTGGGCATGAGTATTGGTATCTGGGGATATATCTGTATATAATCTATCTGTTCAGATAACTAGATTAGTCCTGGTGGATGTGTGTATTGGTATCTGGGGATATATCTGTATATAATCTATCTGTGCAGATAACTGGATTAGTCCTGGTGGGCATGAGTATTGGTATCTGGAGATATATCTGTGTATAATCTATCTGTGCAGATAATTGGATTAGTCCTGGTGGGTGTGAGTATTGGTATTTGGGGATATATCTGTATACAATCTATCTGTGCAGATAGCTGGATTAGTCCTGGTGGGTGTGAGTATAGGTATCTGGGGATATATCTGTTTATAATCTATCTGTATATAATCCATCTGTGCAGATAATTGGATTAGTCCTGGTGGGTGTGAGTATTGGTATCTGGGGATATATCTGGATGAACCGTGTTGTCTACTCTGACCTTCCTGACACTATTACCGATGAGGAGAAGGTTAAGGCCCAGATCGAGAGGTAAAATCATTTTTTAAAAAGTCGTCTTAAAGGGACTGTAAGCGTTATTTCAAATGTCGCTTCCATGCAAAGATTGCCATGTCCGTATTATAACGGTATCCTTGAAATCTTAATTGATCAATTAAGTGGAAGATAACGTCGTGTTTTTCCGAGTCAATAAGTGTTCATTTCTGATAATTTCTGAATTTTTTTTAATAAGCAAGAAATGCGCAAGACACTTTTACAGAAAACCCAGAAATAAAAAACAGCAAAAACAAATTCATGGAAATCAAAAAGGTACTGTTGTGAATTGTCATCTTTGCATGATGGGTCACTTGAAATTTAGCTGACAGTCTCTTTTCTTTGAAACCTTAATCAAAGCTAACTGAGTTTATGGTTAAGTAACAACAAATTTTGGGATAACGTGTTTAATAATTGTGTTGTGTTGGGGTGAAAAATTTGACATCAACAGACGAATTTTTTTTATTGTTTCACCTCCCAATACAGTTTTAAAAATACTTAAAAATATGTTTCCACTTAATGCAATTATATCTAACTGAGTTCACTTAGAAAGTGTAGTAAGTATTGTTTGTTATCAAAGATAAAGGTTCTTTATTACTAATATTTCTTGGAAGCAATGATCTTTTTTAATCTTTTTTGTCAATGCTCTGTCTTTTGTCCACTTGTACCCTTTTTTCATCAATGCTCAAACTAAACTCCCATTTTTTGTATTTTATGACGTATAACCCTTCTTGAAAAAATAACAAATAAGACTAATATGAGAATAATTAAGTTTAAAATACAGAAGAAACTTTTAATCCAATATTTTTTGTTTTCTTAAAAGTTCGAAATGTTTTGAAGTAAAAATTTAAAACTTTGTTACAACTAAATTGCAATGAATGGTATTTCAAATGAACGTCATATTTTTAATTCTGCAAAATTAAAATTAAATTTTTGCAAACTATTTGCATTCATTTTATTTTATTAGGGAAACATTTGTTCTGACAGTGGTATATTTTCTTTATATCATTTCCCTTTCTTGAATTAGGGAAATATATAAACATCAACAAGTGGGAGGGAAAAAATCCCATTTTCCACTTTTTCACTTCCGGTTTATTTCCTGTTCGTTTTTTCAAAAATATAGCCCTGTGTGCTATAATAAAAAAATAGTACTGAGGAGAAAGAGATAAAATCTTTTAACGATTTTTAACAAACGCACATGGCCCTGAGAAATTATAAAAATAATATTTTTTATGATTAAACTAATAAACTAAATATTTCAGAATGGTAGCCCTCCGTGTGAACCCGGTCGAAGGATTGACCTCCAACTACGATTACGAGGCTGGGAAGTGGAAGGAGTAAATCCAACCTCAACAATTTAGTCTTACCTTGATAGATAATTAGCCTGTCCTCAATAAATACTTATTAATAAAAACACATTTTATTCGCTGATATTTATTAGATTTAGAATTTTAGATTAGATGAAATGCAATAAAAGCTGTAATAGTTTTGAACTAAAAATGGAAATGCTAAGAAAATTGCATAATAAGAATAATGGAATTGGAGGTCTTCCCGTTTATCATTGTTATGGTATTAAGGACCGCTTCGCGGCCCGATCTCGTTTTTTACCATCGAATCAATTTTGCAGATAAATAATATAATTTCTACTAAAAAGCCCAGATCGGATGTTTTAAGTTAATTGGAAAAAACAGAAATAGAAAAGTCGATTATTCGATGCCCCATTCTGAACCAATTTTCGTTTCTCGACGTAAATAATATTATTATTAAGAGTAAACAACCAAATTGGAATATTTTATGACTGTATTTATTTGTGCGTTCGATCTGAAATTTAAATCTTGAAAAGCCCTTGGAAAATGGATGTAAAATCATGTCATGCAAGTTATGTATGCCTCAAACGTATTGTTTTCCGACCGTACTTATTTAACCCAGAATGTTAACTATTTAACTAAATTAGTTTTAAAAACGTTAACCGGGACAGGGGTTGAAACTTGAAAACTTGATGAACAAATACAAAGAATTCTTTCCGTCAAAATATCTACTTCCTTTTTAATTTCAAAGTTTTATGAATCTCAAGTACAGGGTGTCCCACAAAACATGACAGTTGGTGAATAGCTTAAAATGTCTTCTTCCAAAATTAGTAAAGTTGTTTAATACTAAAGAGAATGAAGAAAAATATTGTATGCCAATTATATTATTGTAAAATTGATTTCAAAGAAAAATATATTTAAGAAAAAGAAGTTTTTAACGAAATAACATGCATAAAGTATTTAATATCCAATATGATAAATGGAAGAACAAGAAGACATTCAAAACTATTCAACTACTTTCATATTTCGTGGGACACCCTGTATGTACTTTAATGCATTCATTTTATCTTTCATCCTCTCAGACTTTCCCATCTTAGATTTTACAGGATCTTTCTACACAAAGAAAACCATATTTCATACATATTTTATAATATAGTTTCTAACCATACCCACTATCCACGCAATCAATTTTAAGAGAAAAAGATCAATAATTAAACTATTCAAGACTCGAGGACTAGGTTTATGGAGCACTTCGCGCCCCTCTTAATAATTTTATTTTCAAGCGTAATTTGAAGTACGGGATGGTGTATTCTTCGACCTACGCAAATCCGCTATACTCCATTTCTGACCTACGCCAAATCCACTATACTACACATCTGATCTACTAGCACGTGTGGTTTTACAGCTTCTATATGGACTTATGGCCGCAACGCCCGGCCCCCTAGCCTGTCCAGCCGCGGCACTCGGCCCAGAAGTTGTCCTTTAACTTAACCCTCAAATAATACAAAAATTAACAGCTGGTTTCAAAGATTTTTTGGAAAATCGAAATATTTCAAATTTTGGCCCGACTGGTTCAGCCGTTTTGAGCGACGTTTATTGGATTCAAATTGATTTCCAAAATATAAATATTCTAGATGTTTATAGGCATCCTGTGGCACATAGATACAGCTTTAAATCACAACGGTAGGGTTAAATCACGTCTTTGAACTTAAAAAAAGGTTTACCGTTTGCTTCTATTTTGGCTTGGGAACCGGCGTATATACAAATTACAATCCTAATTCCAACGAGACAGTTCTGATGAAAAAGTTATATTTTTGACAATACAGTGATACCAAAAATGGTTTAGATAGGAAGTCGACTTTTAGACTCTACAACAACGAATTAAAATATAAATATCCCTACTGTCATTGTTATCAATTGATTTAATATTTAAATGATAAAAATGTTCTATATTATAAAATATCCTTACTATTGAAGGGTTAGTTGAGAAAGTTCGGGGATGCTATCTCATTTGGACTACTGCCGTTTGAACTATTGTTTATTTCAACTACTGCACGTGGTACCACGTGAGTAGTTTAAATGAACAATAGTTCAAACGAGTAAATATATTGCTCATTTGAACTATTTTTTAGTTCAATGAAAATGAAAATGTAAAATGTCTCCTGTTTGATAGAACTGATTAGATTCATAATATTTAGTTGTATTAGTATCGTTCGATTTAAAGTTTGTATCTTTTGTATATAAATATATTGTAAGAAAAACCGACTCGTTGAATATTTGAGAAACTCAGTGCATTGCTTTATTGATTTTTATTCATATACTATAATATAATATATATAATTAGATCAATATATTGGATTCTAATAATGCCAGATTGGTTCGTTTTCTTGACTGAAAGGGCCTTCACTTAATTTCTCACCCATTTATCAGTTAAAATTGGTTACAAAAGAATCTCAAACCTGTTATTAAATATTTTTCTTCACCGATTTATTTACAAAATGGCCGACAACAATTCTTTATTTGTTAGAAATTGCGGATTTCTCTCATGGGATAGAATCTATTTTCTAGGTCAATACAATTTACGAACTATATTCCTGCACTCTCATTGGAGAAAATAACATACAGATAACCAAAGAGAGAGAAAAATAGTGGATTAAGGACTAAAATTAAAAGATTCTACAGTGGATATTCGGATTAAGTAGTTGTGATTAAAGGTTATTAATTCTAAAGTTCCCAGCTATGTTTTCTCAGAGAAAATTGTTCGGTTTTGGTTTCAGAGAATGATTGATAAAAGACGACATTTTAACAAATTATAGTGTTAGGTTTATGGTTTACAGTGGCCCCAGGCGGGGTTCGAGGATATTAGGGTTATATTCGAGAATGAAAGGTTACCATTAAACATGTAATGAGTAAATTGGGATGTTGATTGATTGATTAAAATATGACTGATTGACTGCCAATAATAAGAAATGGTACAATGGGACATATTAAGGTACATGTAAGATTAATACTTTTTACGAACAAACATAATGGTTACAGAAATTATGGTGTCCTGAGCAGGCTGGCGTTAATTAATAAAGATTTTTAGAGAATTGGTAAGTAAATTAAAACCGAGTTTGAATAGATTGTGCCTTGAAAACGTTTAAAGGCAGGAGTAAGATAATAAATGAAAGAAAGAAATTAAAATAGAAATTAAAGTACTGATTAATATCTAGCTCATTTTGCATGGAAATTAATGAATATTTTAATTTTGTTTTCCGCCCTGTTTCTTGTGAATAGCGGATATCCCGTAAACTTCCGCCTTTCCTTAGCTATATTCTGTTGGATCTCCTTTTAGATCTGCAGCATAAGCTAAGTTATCTTGAGTTCCCATACTTCATTATCCATCCAATACTCTTCATGCTTGGCCTTAGTCGGTTCATCTAAATGATTTGCTCCTGACAATGGAACATCATTTATGTTTTCTACTCCTTTCTTATGAATCACTATAAACTCGTACTAAGCCAATTCTGCAAACCAATGCAGAATTTTTTTTTCAGGTTTTAGATGGAAGATGCACTTTTAGGCTAGATGCAAACAGACAAGCATTGAAGCAATTTCAGGGTATAGGACTACGTTTACACCTTGGGTTTAAGAAAGCCCAGAATAAAAGTCTAAGGGGGTTCAGATAGATGTAAATGAATTTCTTTGTTTCTTCAGCAATGTTGACTATAAAGTTAACAGAGAGATTTTCAAATGTTCGACATAGTTTTTCACAAAAAGGAAGGATCGGACTACAAAAACTTACTTATACTAGCCTTAGAGGGCGCTTCGCGCCCATCTTCTAAATTAATTGTGAACATGTTCTCTTTGTGAACATCGTAAAACAAAACAAAAATAATTCGCGGATTTTCACAAAAAATTTCGTGGATTTTCAAAATTTTCAAAAATTTAATGAAGATCGAATTTTGATGGAGACAAATATTTGAAATTTTGATCATACATAAACCTTCCCTGTGGTCACGTGATGTCCCACAAAAAATTTGGACCCGATCGGTTCAGCCGTTTTGACGTTTATTGGATACAAACAAACAGACAAACAGACAGACAAGCCAAATTTATATATAGATAACCCCTTCTAAAATTAAAAACTATGCAGTGGGGGCACAATTTTGAGTAATTTCAAAGGATTAAAGGTGCTTAACAATCCTAATCCCTGTTATTTGGGTCACCCTGCATGTATTTACTGAGAAGATGATTGCGATAAGATATTTTGGAACATTAATGGCTTGAATTAATTAAAATTGCGCCCTAGATTGCGCAAAGTTTGTTATTTGTTTTATTTAAGAAAGTGAAGTTACTTTTTTTTGCTAAAATATAGAAATTTATCTGCATCAGTAAGTTTTGCAGTCAATAAATCTTGTGAGTAACTTTGCAACTTTGTAAAGTTAGGAAAGTGCAAAGTTTTACGACCGAGATTTTTTGCAAACTTTGTACTTGTACCATCATTAAAAAGGTACTTAGCTGGTACTTTTATAAAATATTTAATTTGAGGGTTACACCATAATTATTTTAAATTTTCTTTTAACATTTTTTACAATTTCCTGCGGCTGTAATTAAACTTAAGCGTTTTTGTACATAACCATTAAAACATTTTAAAAAGAATAAAAGCTAACAAATGATTGATGTTAAGTTTCAAATAAAAATTTATAATTTAAATGAATTTATATTTGATCAGCCTTTCCAGTGGAATTTTAAAAATTGTCTTAAAGCACTCGGCACAAAAAAGCCCCGGTCAATGCCATTTGGCGGAATATGTTAATTTTCACTCTTTCCGGCGAATTTTTTGAGAGTTTTTTAATCACTTAAGCTGTAAAATTTTAAAACATGAATAAACCCCGAAAGGTTCCAAATTCTAAAATACGAAATTTTCGGCGGAGCAAAAGTGTTTGTTCAAAATGCAGAATGTAATATAGAATTAAACTTGCTCTAGGTGCTTACAAGCCAGTCTGTTTCTTCCAAATACTTTGATGATTTAAAATAGAAAAATAAAATTCAAACTATAAAAATATTTCCCAATTAAAAGTTTTTCAGAAAAAGGGAAATGTCAGAGAATCGAGAAATAAGTTTTTCTGTTAAACTCGTAAATTGTTCCACGAATCTCTTCACTGTAAATCTGGAGAGAAATTGATTTTTAAAAGAAATCTTTAGATAAATTCTGAGTGTATTATATAAATATAATAGTAATACTGAATTCAAAAACTGCAATAAATTTAACTTTTTTTAGTTTCCAAACTTATACTTCTAATCGATAATTTAAATTTTGCATCCCGCTAACCCCCCTAGATTTATTTCTGTATACGCCCTTGCGGCCGCTAATCACATTGTATTCAACACATCCACACAGTACCGGACTTACCAGAGTAAGCAGTGAGCAGCATTCGGTTTCTTCTATTTTAAATCAAACGTGTTTTGGTCTTTAATTCAATAATCAAATACTTTACGGATTTGTTTATTTCATACATTTTCATTCAAAATGCATATGCCAACAAAAAAGTATTAAAGAAAAAAGGCTAACAAAATATGTTTAATGGGTCAAATTATGATCGAAAGTCACAGCTTTCTGGAATATTGACAGAACCGTTAAATCCACGTGTCCAAGACTCCTTTTTTGCCTATATCCAATATAATCATATATCCAACATAAAATCTTATCCAGTAACTCTTCTTTTCTCAAGATATTCCATGATTCATGATGATAAATCGTCTACTCTTTTTTTATGGCGTCAAGTCATCTAATAATTAGCAATATTCTTTAAGTTCCTTTTCGAATTAATTTAAAAGGTCTATATTCAATTAAAAAATTAAACTGCTTAGCACATTATTGTCCAATTTAGTAATATTTCAAGAATACGATGTTTTATATTTTCTTTTTTTTTATAGTGGGTTTTTAACTTTATTTGTCTTATTTTTCAATTGCAGCAGTATCTACTTTACTTTTGTCAGAGCAGAGCTGATTTTGCTATTTTTGATCTCATAAAACCTTACATAGAGAGTAAATTGCAATAAGCAATTTCTTATATAAATTCTAACATTCATGTATTTCTAAATATTTATTGGTAGGTTTTAAACAATTATTCCTAATACTTTGTATTTTTTTCTCGTTAATAAAAGTTTGAAGAAGAAGAAGAATCTTTTAATCAGAAATATCGCTCAAAAACTTTTTTAAAGAAAGCCATTAATAAATTTAAATATTTTTCCTTTAAACATTTCTTCATGATTAAAGCAATTCAACTGTATAAGGCTGTCCCAACAATTTTGCTGATAAACATAAATGATAAAAAATTCACACACCCCTTTAAAATGTTCAGGATCCGTGCCGGTACAACACGTACTGCCAATGCATTCATTCGTACTGTCCAGTCTGGCTGCTCAGTGTCGACCCAGCCCATTTTATGCAACAAATGCAGCCTGGCAAGAACACAGTGTTCACAAATTAAAAAAAAAAAACATCTTAAAGCTAGAGCTAAATTTAATTCATGATTGTAAAATTAATGCTTGTAAATCTAAAATTCTCGATTTTTTTTCTGAACACCCCACGAAGTTGAAGATAAGAATTACGTACTTTATCTCCATCAATAAAAATAATTCAGTTAGAATTATAAACTACAATAATGATTATTTACAAGTTGTAAGAATAATTGTGAAGTTTTGTGAGAAAAATTGCGACTTTTCCCTGAGAAATAAATGTGAGAGGTTCTTGTGTCATAATTTATCATAATCAAGTAAAATATAAAAGTAAGTAAAGTATGATTGATATGAATATAATCTACCAACTTTGAGAATTTGAAAATTTGAATTCGATTAGAATTAAAATTTTCATTTTATAATATATCTAATTTTTAGGACAATAAGTGCAGTATATTTCTATATATTTACTCTTCTAATATATCTTATTATTAGGACAATATTTACAGTATATTCTATATATTTACTCTTCTAATATATCTAACTATTAGGAAAATATGTACGTACAATATATTCCTATATATTTACCCTTCTAATATGTCTAATTATTAGGACAATATGTACAGTGTATTTCTGTATATTTACTCTTCTAATATATTTAATTATTAGGACAATATGTACAGTATATTCTATATATTTACTCTTCTAATATATCTAACTATTAGGAAAATATGTACGTACAATATATTCCTATATATTTACTCTTCTAATATGTCTAATTATTAGGACAATATGTACAGTGTATTTCTGTATATTTACTCTTCTAATATATTTAATTATTAGGACAATATGTACAGTATATTCTATATATTTACTCTTCTAATATATCTAATTATTAGGACAATATATACAGTATATTCTACATATTTACTCTTCTAATATATCTAATTATTAGGACAATATGTACAGTATATTCTATATATTTACTCTTCTAATATATTTAATTATTATATAGGACATTATGTACAGTATATTCTTATATATTTACTCCTCTAGGACAATATGTACAGTATATTTCTACCCTTTGCCTCCCTAATAATGGATCTAGTGACGGCCTATGTTTACCTTAAGAATGAATTCTGGTTTTCAGGTTAGTGTAAACAGTTAAAATAGTTAAAATGAGTGTATTCTTGTTTTTTTTCTGCGAAAATTGATTATTTTTATTAAAAAAAACTGACTTGCAGCAGCGGCAAAGAAGAATGTTGTCGGAATTTATCTGTTTTCAAGAAAGAAATGGCGGCGATATCTTTTTAATTTTCAATGGTCGTTGTAAACCTGGCTTGTAACTATTAAAATGATGTTGGGTACTTTTCCAAAGGGATTTTCCCAAGTTGCAACTTCCCAAATATATGCAATTTCCCAAGCGGCAAATTCACAAGTCTGACCTAGCCGCAGCGCTCGCCCCATCCCCAGTCTGTTCTAGCCGCGGCGCATGGCCCCCTAGCCCATCCTAGCCGCAGCGCTCAGCCCCCATTGCAGTTTGCAGCGCCTCAGAAGGCCTAACCAGCCTTTGAGAAGTTGCCGCTTGGGAAATTGCACATTGGGAAGTTGCCACTTGGGAGTTTGTCAATTGGAAAGGACGAAACAGTCCTTTTAATGGCTTTAGTATTTTTTACATTGAATCGTATTAATTAAAACAGCCAGTACATGAGCACGAATGGTTTATTAAAAAAAAGAATCAAAAAAGTTGTTGATTTTTTACGATCAGACTGAATATTTGATATTCTAAATTGAGTGGAAAATATGTAAAATTTTAGAAATCCTTGAAAATATAAATAAATTCAATATTCATTGTTCAATTACGATACAGGAAGATCCAATGTTTAGAATAAATGCTGCAGAAAAAAAAGAGTTTTAATTAAAATTTCAATTCCAACAATTCTTATATATTTAAGAGTTAAGTTATATTTATATATTTTTAATTAAATCCAATATAAGAGATCAAAAACATTGTTTTTGTTCGACATGATTTTAATAAAATCTTATTTGAATAAACATGAAAGAGTCAGTTAAAAGAATTTCTCTTAGATCTGCCGAGTCATTGAAAATTAATTCAATTGAGAAATTTGCTCTTTACAGAATTCTCCGTTAAAGGGGGACTAATGATTTTTTAGCTGGGTTTGACGTACAGTATAAAGTAGTGCTTTTTTCTCTTTCTCATGATTTTTAAAAATAATTAATTTCTTGGTTTTCAAATCCCTTCAGGTTCCCAAACCATTGGCGAAGTCATTAGATTTTTTTAAAACTAATAATTCTGATAAATAAAAATAATCTAAGTTTGAAATATTAACACTTTACATCAGTAGGGTGCAAGAATATAGGGAACTAGGCTTTTGTGCGCTTCGCATCCATTACTATTTGAATTGTGAACATGTTCTCTTTGTGTACGCTGTAAAACAAAAACAAAAACAAATTTGGCGGATTTTACAAAAAAAAATTTCGTGGAATTTCAAAATTTTCAACAATCGAATTTTGTTTGAGGACAATTTTTGAAAATTTGATCATCCACAAACCTTTCTTGGCATCACGCGAGTTCCCACAAAAAATTTGGGCCCGATCCGTTCAGCCGTTTTGACGTTTATTGGATACAAATAATCTTTTAGCGGATCCTACCCTCGGTCAAAATTACAGCGCATTCCCTTTAATTCTACTTTATTAAATGAGGAAAATCAGTTTAATAATTAAAGAGATCATTAATTCTTTTAATTCATTCAATTCCGAGTTTAATTTAATGGGAGTGTTCAGTTAAATCCTATTCAAATTTAGACATAATTGCCAACTAATTTTACTTCTATCTGTTGTGTCTACATATACGGAGAAAATGGTTGAAAACCTAAAATACTCAAAAGCATGGAGCCCATGTAAATTTACTCCACTTATTCCACTAAACCCGTAAATAATTAAATTACATAAAAACTGCATTGTCTTTTTAATATTACAAAATATAAATTTAGATTTTTAGGAAAATTTAATGTAGGTTTGATTTGATACCAAAATCTTTTTTATTTAATTTTATTAAAGATGTACCTTGAAGGATGCTTATTAGGCCGCTAGGTGTCTCTCGCAGAGAAATCTGTAAAATTCCGGGAGGGAGTAAAATTAGCCCCTGAATTAGATTTGGATCTAGCATAACACCATTTTCGTATTTTGCGAAAACTCCCTTTAAGAGAAGAATCAAAAAAAACTCTTACAAAAATTAATAAATAAAATTGGGGTTATAGATATAACTAATATGTGATGATAGATTGTTAAATATTTATTTAATATGATGAGATAATGAAATAAATTTACCGCTTGCACCCCCCCCCCCCCCCCACCTCCTCTTTTTTCAGGTCCGCAACCAATTGTATACTAATACAGATCTAAAACTTAATATTTGAAAAGCTATTGAAAAATGGTTGAGAAAACATTTGATTGTCAATATTTGTCAAAAAATAAAATAAATATTTTTTAAAATCCTTCTGTAATCTGTATTTAGGAATATCTACAGCATTGATAGCTCTCCTTCCTCTTGTTACATCCACAGCACTTCTGTATACAGGCTGTGCCAGAATTCAGCAGGTACAATTGGAAAGAATTATTGTTTCTCAACTGTTTCTGATAAGCAGGCGCGCAACTAGGGGGGGGGCCAAGGGGGCCAGGCCCCCCCCTAGCCTGATTAAGGGGGGGGCATGCCCCTCCCTTAAGAAGTCTTGCCCCCCCTGTAGGGAGGGGCAAGAAATGACGAAGTCCACCCGGTTTTGCAATTTAGCGATTCATGAATCCAGACCCTGAGGAAATTTAAGAGCTCTTATCGTAAAATAAAAAAAAGATAATTGAACGTTAGTTTATTGAGCTTATAGTTCAATCCATATAGCACTTAATACACCATATACACACATACAGACCCCCTTCGTCTCCGAGCCTAACTACTGCCGTAGATCAGAACAGTTTGACAAGGTTCCAATGTGCCTTAATCTTTGTTTTTTTCATTATGCTGTTTTTTCTGGGAAAGGGAAAGGGGGTTTATCAAGTATTTTTTAGATATTTTCACTATCAGTTCTGCCACTTATTATGATATTGCTTTAATACTGTAGTACAACTATTCAATTAATCCTACATGTTCACCGCAAATATTGTGTGATGTGTCATATTAAAAAAAATATTTTTCATGTAAAATCATGAATTTTTAATAAAAGGCATTTCTTGTCAGTTTTTGAGTACAATGTACATATTTGATTTATGGATAACTAATGAAAATTTATATATATATATATATAATTTGTATTGAAAATTAATTATTTTTGTGATTTATACCAGAATCAGGGGCGGATAAAGGATTTAAGTGAAGGGGGGGGGGCAAGATTTTTTAGGAACAAAAAAATTCATAATTAGGAACCAAAAATCGCGGCGCAGGCGAAAATTTTTTTTGACTTAAAAGACTCAAAAAGAGTGAAAATTAATGACTAAAGACTAAAAAACTAGATTTTTAACTTTTCACACATTATAGTTTATTAAGACAGATATTTTTCCTGTTTTGCACTAGGGTTTCTTTCCGAATTAAGCATGCTATTGAGAAGCTATTCTGAAATAAGAACAAAAAATTCCAAATTCAGGGGGGGGGAATGTCCCCCGCCCCCCCCCCTGTATCCGCCCCTGACCAGAATAGATTTCTTGTTTCATTTTATATCAGATGTGTTGACTTAAAACTGAATATCCGGTTGGTTTTTTATTGTTTAAGTGTTACACACATTTTTCTTGCCCCCCCCTAAAAATGTTTAGGGGGGGGCCAAAAAATTTTTCGCGCACAGAACCTGTAATGTCTAAAAATAAACTTTACACTTTTTTTGGTTTGCGTTGGAGTACTGTTTCATAATTTTATATTTGTCAAACAAAAAAGACAAATAAAATTAAGAAAGAAGAAAAGCACCCAGAATGAAGAGCTTGTTTTGTAAAAATTGGACTTTTTAGAGTTGGTTTGGCAGATCATGCGGCTCGCAGGTCATTTTGGTAGAAGATAAACCCCCATTCTTTTCTTCAACAAAATGTTTCCCTTATTAATCAAAAACTACTTTCAAAAATATGTCGATTGTCGACCTTTTTCTTTTGTCCGTCTATCGTTTTTTTTTTTTAATTTTGACTGTCCATAAGCCTTCCATGGGGTTATGTGAGATACCACAAAAATTTGAAAATGCAAATTAAAATTTGTCAAAACTTTCACTTTTTCAGGCCACAATACTGCTTGGATTTATGCATGCTGGTCCTCAAATAATACTTCAAACTACTATCTTAGTCAAGTAAGATGATATCACGTAAACAAATTATTAAGAAGTACATCAAGTCTGTTTTGATAATTTTTTTGATCTATAATTCGTTTAGAAATTGCGCAAAAGTAATTTATATTTAGAATATAAGATCCAAGAAAAGGATAAAATAGCTAATTCATTTAATTCATTAAATTTGTGATAAATGGACTTCAAAGTCAAGGCTTTACAGACTTAATAATCAGAACCCTTAGTTTATAGTGAAATAGCATTCACATAGATATTTGATACACAAGCTCACTATAGTTTCAGTAGAAGTAAATATTTCCATTTACTGATAGCGCCGATTGTAGGATTTATATCTCTAATTGGATAATGAGATAGATAAAAAGATAGATGTTAACCATACTATTTCTATTGGCTCAGAATAAACAACAAACACATGACTGAACCCTGATTGGATCAGTGCGCTAATGGACTCAGCATACAGGAGCTAGAAAAACCACGATATTGAACTGCTACTGCATCATATATTATCATAACCTCCGTGGGGAATTGTAAAAGAATATTAACATTATTGTTATCAGAAGAATATTGAATATAGTACACATATCTTCTATTACAAAAAATGCATCAAGGACGGGACAGGAATTGTAATAAATATATATACTTTACATTTAAACATTGGGATTAGACTGTTTGAAGTTTTTTTTGTAATCTATGACGTGATAAATTCTTGTAGAAAAATTATCAAAAACTGTTTTTATTTTTCAACTGAAAGTAGATAATGTAGTATTTGAATTTAATAAATACGCCATGTTTGCAATTAAAGTGTTCTCGCCACACACTCTGATTTTCTATCCACGCACCTCTGCCCCTTAAGTAAAAGTAAATTCAACCTATATGAAGCATAAAGTCTGACCGCGTCAACCTTGTTGCACCGGCTAGTCCTGTCCATAGAGCCAGGTACAGTACAAACTGGGACCGGAAAGATTGACCCAACTCGAAAATTCAAATGTACTACGACTGCCCGTGTATCTCCTATATCTTTGTAAATTTTGATATTTAATCTAACGTAATTCAAAGTTTAAGATAGTAAAGATCTACAAAATCGGATTGCAAAATATAGAGATTACACAATCTGAGTTTGTAGTTTCTCTAATGGCAAGCTACGGGGTTCTCTTTAAAATTCAATTTTCAGGCCATAAATATAGTATAGAGATACAGTGTAGATTGATTAATGTAGATCAATATTGGTTAAAATATGTTAAACTATATACTCCTCAATGTTCTTTATTATACATAGGAAAACTTTAAAACGATCGATGTCTTCTTTCTTTCTTTTGTAACCGATAACCAATTATTTTAATGAACATTTAGGTTAGAATATTATTATTATTATAGAATATTATTATAGAATATTATTATAGAATATTATTATATTATTATTCCTCACTTACAAGTCAAAAAAACCTGTCATTTCATGATAAAAATAAAGTAAAATTATGTTTAAATGTTTTCTGGATACCACTCGTATTTAATCTTTGCTTATTTTTTAGATATTGGAATCATTTTCAAGGGGTGCTTATCAGCTATGGGTCTATAGACAGCCCTCAGTGTAAGTTTTTAAATTTTATTTTTATTAAAGTTTTTCATAGAGAGGGTTAAAAGTATTGACTCTTTACAACGCTCAGTTATAATAGCTTAATTCCTCATAAAGGAACTAATTTTCAAATAGTTTTTTTTTGCAAATTGATATTTTTCCAAAGGAGTATTATCATTTATCCAAATGGGTATTTAATGTTTTCCCATTTTTCTATTTATATTTTCCCATCATGTAATTTCCCATGTTATGTATTTTTTCGAATGTAATTTTTTTATTCGTATTTTTTAAAAAATTTTAATTTCTGAAATGAAATTTTCCCCAAAAGGTGTTTTCCAAAATGCGTACTTACTTGAATGTACGTACATTGCTCCAATTGTTGCATGAATGGACCCAGCATGTTTTATGCAATTATGCAATGAATACGCTTTCCCTAAATGGCTTTTATCCATTTTATTTCCAAAAATGCGTAATTTCTCAATCAATCAAAGATTATTTACTAAAAATGAATTTTACCAAGTGCGGTGTCAACGTAATATAGACTTGGAAAGAATTCAGTAGTAAAAAGCCAAGATTGAGTGGAATAACAAAGCATGGTTGCACACACACTATATATTTAAATTATAAGGATACAAACGATTATTGTTGGACCAACTAAAGTTGATCTAAATATACATGACATATATTTCAATTTGACTCTTCTGATCAGATGCTTTGTGCTAACTAACTCCCCTATGGAACTCCGGGGCTAAGATCCCCAACGATTTGCGAGAAGAGGTTCAATACCCTTGTAACACTTTTTTGCATTTAAGGCTGCAACATAACCGGAGTTCAATACCCTTTTTGACTGGATCTAGACTGTTTGGCTTTATTCTTAGATTGCATCTGTTATGCGCATCATTTCTCCGAATGGGAGCAATAAACTTATATGAGATTATGTACATAGGGATGAACCCTGGTTGGGTTCACAGTAAATGTTTTATCCCAAGTTTTTGTATTTTTGTATTTCCAACTAAAAAAAGAAAATATTTTTAAAAAGTTTTATCTTTACCTTTTTGTGTCAAGAAAACGTGTAATTGGACAAGAAAAGTCTAGATATGGTCATCGTTTATTACCATTCTCAGTTTTTAAAATTTAAAGGGACTGTATTCGTAATTTAAATTGAGTTGCATGTCCTATTAACAACAGTATCCTTACGGCTTTTTCTGATCATTAATGAATTAGATTTCCATGCAAATTTTTCTGCAAATGCCATTGGAGAAAATTATCGGAATTAAACACTTCTAAGGCCAGAAAAACAACAATATTTCCCACATTTTTAATTAGATTAAGGTTTAATGGTACAGTTCTGAATCGGGCAAGCCTCTCTTTCAAATGATGTTCACAAGAAATTTTATCAAATTTATCAAATTCTAAAATTTTCATTTCGACAAAAGTTATTAAATGAAACGATTTATTAAAAAGATTTAACTACTCCATCCACCTGGGGCCTGTGCAATTAGACGTAAAAACTTTGATTATTTAAAAACAAGAAACCTTTAATATTTATAAACAAAAAACTTTGAAAATTCAAAAAGAAAAAAATTTAATATTTAAAGTTACTAAAACGATGTCTATCTCTAGATCAAGTAAGTCTTAGCTAGACAGCTGCCCCCTTATCCTTTATTTACCAAACCAAACCCAGACAATAAGCTGATTCTGCCCAAACCTACAATACATTATTAACAAGAATAACAACTTGCAAGAAATAAATCCGTACAATAATTTGACATAGAGGTGGAGAAGGCAGCTCCACCAATCCTTCGTCCGAGTCGCACATATCAGTGATTTTCCTGTGATTTTTTTTAACCGTCGCATTTTTACTTTAAACTTAATAATTCCAACCTCTACAAGCCAAAACATATGGAGGTTGCTCGTAAACGGAATTATGGAAAGAATGAGGCTCAGAAGCCAGATTTATGTGGCTCGCCTCCCTCCCCTTTTTCATATGTGTGGTAATTGCACAATTTGTTAGTGTTGGACAACTACCAACTAAAATTACATCTTATATGTGCCATATGTTAATGTCATGATTAAATTATGTAATACTAGTGCGTCCTACTAAGCATGATAATTGAGAGACGGCTAGAAGATCGTCTTCACTCTTTTACAGGGTGACATCCTTCAATCCATAACTCCGTTTTTTATGTCAGCCTGTAAGTAAAATTTTTGTTTCTTTCATTCCACAAAAGAGAAAGACTTAATCTATAACATTTAGGATATATTCGACTATAAACGTAATCAATAATAGTCATTATTTAATCTATAACATTATCTACTTATTTTTTGGTTCCCGCTGTAGCTTTCTCAAAAAAACTATTTATCTTTTTATTTTATTTTTCAGCGACAATAATTGTATTAACCTGTTTGTGTGGATCCCTGGTTCTAGCTAAATCTGCTAGAGAATGCCATTTTTTATGTCAGGTGAGCAAACTTTAAAGAGGCTGTACACTTTAAAGAGACTGTACACTTTAAAGAGACACTGTATGTAGCATATTCTGTAGTAATGCTTAGTACGATCTATGTTATCCATGCTAGTAATATATCTTATCTATTTTTATGTTGACCCTGTCTGGCTAGTCTGGTCAGTTTAATTTCACCTGTATATAAATAAATTAGTACTACATGAACCTTTGTGTTATACGGACGTATACAGAGCCTTGAGTTTTGGCTAGAGATTGAGAGCCTAGAGTTTTGGCTAGAGATAGAGTCAGTGAGACTGTAATTAGACTTTGAGTAGTGTAATCTCAGGACCTAGATTTATTACAAAAGTGGTGGCAGCGGTGGGATAACCTAGGGCCCAGATCTAGATGCCCGAGACTCCGAAGGATTCTGGAAAAAGAGTAAAGTGAAAACCTGGTTTAACGGATTAGCCAGAGAAGTTTTAACAGGAGAGGATTTGCCTGTGAGTGAATCAAGTGTGGCTACAGGAAATACAGTGGCTACCTTTCAAGGATATCAGAGTTCACCCAGTGACGATTCTGGATCGGAAGTAGAGATGGAGGGACCATCTCATCCAGCGATAGATGACATGGTGGAAATAAGGCAGCAGTTTCAGCTGCTCCAAGCCCAGCTGACGGAGACTAAGAAGAAACTGGCGGATATTGAGCAGAAAGATAAGAATAAATCATTCGCCCAGGCGTGGCAGGAGTCAGCGACACCAGAGACACAGGACCCTATCGGAAGAGTAGTTGCCAGACTAGAACGCCCTAAGGTGGAAGATGCACAAGAAGTTTAGTTGTCCTTTCTGAAGGCGGAGAAGGCAGCAGGCAGAGGAGATAGGCTGATGATTCAAGATCTGAGCAGGGCGGAAGCTGAGTACAAGAAGAGGCTGTTGGATTTTAGCTGTAGAGCCCCAACATATGATGGTAACCCTAGTAAAGTGTTCGTCTGGTGTGGCGAATTAGAGAAGCATCTGTCAAGATTTGAGTGTGAAACGATGCCATAAAAAGGATGCTGTTAGACTGTTTAACGGGAAAAGCACAGTCTGAGATAGTATTGTTGAAACCGGATGGATTAGCTTTTGACAATTACGAGATTGGTGAGTTCTTTCAAGAGTTATTGAAGAAGTTCACTCACGAGAAGGACGAGGAGGGCAGGAAGATGGAATACTTGCACAGGAGACAGGCAAGAAATAAGGATGCTCGTCAGTATTACACAGACAAGCTAAGATTATTCGTGCAAGCCTACCCCCCAGCCCGGAGAAGTTTAGTCGAGTTCAAGACTAATATGTTGTTAGGATTATATAACGCGGAACTGAGGAAAACTTGCCTGATGTTTATGCCTAAAGATATTAAGCATGAGAGGGAGATTAAGGCAGTCCTAGACCACCAGCTAGTGAACCTGAGGACTTATAACATGGACCCAGGGCTCCAGCCCAGGATATGGCAGGCTTACAGAGTACATATTGGTATGATAAGAGTGAGATGACCAAGGCCAACGAGATGTTAAAGACGGGACAGGTGCCCATGGACGTCAACGCCATGCCAGGGCTGGTGGAGGACGTGTCAGATGCTGAAGAATTGGATGCTGAGAGCGGGATAAATGCCCTGCAGGGCGGAGATGTGTGTTATGTTTGCAAGAAACCTGGTCACCAGAAGAGGGATTGCAGGAAGTTTGATGAATGGAAGAGGAAGAATCCTAACAGGAAGTACGGAGGAGACACTCATAAGGCCAGTTCCCGTCCCTCAATTTTGTGTTACAACTGCGGGAAAGAGGGTCATATTTCACGGGAATGTAGAGGAGAATGGAGAAACCAGGGATGGAGAGAGAGTGGTGGTTATGGAGGCGGACAAATAGCGGATATGGCCAAATCCATGGCAGCGATGCAAGAAATTCTGAAGAAACTGGTACCAGAAGCGGTTTTTCCCTAGGAAGTTGCGATGACGGTTGGTCGTCAGCTCCTAAGATTGCAGAAAACAATGATGTGAATGTATTTACTAATCATTTAATAAACAATTCTGTCAATCCTAATGTCCATGATTTGTGTAAGTTAGTACCGGAAGAGAACGGAGAAGTTAGGACAGAAGTAGTGAATAACATAAACAATGTTAGGAAGTTGAAGAACGACTTTAATCCGGAAGTGATGGATAGTTTGAGACCTAACGGAAGTAAGGAAATAGAACTTAGAGAATGGGAAAAGAATATTCTCATGCATCTGAACAATGTTAATTTGGTTGAGAGGGATGACCGTAAAACCTCGTATGTGAAATTTAAGTTATTTAAACGAGACATATACGGGTTAGCCTTAGTAGATACAGGCAATCTAGTGAAAGGTACTTTAGTGTCAAGTGAATTCTGGAAGATGATAGGGGGAAAAATGTTAGAGGAGAGTAATGCTAGAGTGCACACTGCAGAGAAAGGTGGGAAAGGACTGAAAGTACTGGGGAAAGGAGAAAGGATTAAATTCTACTTGGATGGTTTGGATCGCAGATTTGAAGTAGAACCAATTGTGATAGAAGGCCTGAATCATGCAGTGAATTTTGGTATAGAGTTTTTTCGACAGCAGGAAGTGTCAATATCCTGTACGGAGAAGGAAGTGAAACTAGTTACCGGAAGTAAGGGACAGGAAAGGTTAACGAGACTGTGCAGTGCCTATGGGAAACCTTTCCCTTTCATGATACAAGGCAGAAGAGTGGATAAGGAAGCCAAGAATTATGTACAAGTACTTCTGGCTGTGTGGAAAGCAGAGAGAGGAGAACCGGAAGTAAACAACATTAGCCCAGTGGAGGAAGTATTAGAGAGGAAGTTATGGTCTGCTGAGAAGATAAGTATCCCTGTTGGAAGTGCAAAATTAGTCAAGGTAAGAACAGAAGGTAATTGGAAGGGTGCTGGGGTGGTAGAATCGTTGCCTTTAGAAGATCAAGAAAAGGGGAGAAAAGTTCTACTTCCGGAAAATGCATATGACCTGTCAGGAAGTGTACAAGCAGTGTATGTGGAGAACCATGCCGAGGAGTGTGTAGAGTTGTGTGTGGGACAGAAGCTGGGCACAATACATAGTATGTGCATAGATAAACAGGCCTGGATTAAGGAGGAGTTAAGGGGAAGTACGGCACAGGATTTCGACGAAGAAAAAGTGTGTAACTCTCAGGAATCCATCTATTCATTGCAAAAATCCGATTTTCCAACAGAAGGGAGTAGAAGGAAGTTTATCAAGGATAGTTTCAAGATAGATGAGAACGAGATTTTGAACAGGAATGCAGAGCTGAAAGAGGAAGTGATCAAACTTCTCCTGGAAAACTTTTCTACGTTAGCCTTTCACCCTAACAATTATGGCAAAACAGATTTACTGGAGCTGCGGATAGAATTACAGCCAAGGGCAGTACCTAAGAGATCCAAAGTGAGGTCATTGAACCCTGATCAGCGTGCAAACTTGAAGGAACAATTGGATGAGTGGATCCAACAGGGGATTATAGAACCTGCAAACAGTCCCTGGGCATCGCCACTAGTTCCTGTGAAGAAAAAGGATGGGAGGACAAGATGGGTGACTGACCTGAGGCAGCTTAATGACGTCACAATCAAGGATGCTTATTCCCTGATGAATATCCAGGAAAACCTGCAAAAGTTGAAGGGCGCAAAAATCTTCATTTCAATCGACGCCTGTGGTGCATACCACGCGATCCAGATAGAGGAGGGGAGCAGGGATTGTACAGCTTTTATTAGTAGGGTTTCCAGTCGTAATTACGTTACGCGTAATTACGCGTAATTGCGCGTAACACTTTCTTTCACTTACGCAGGAAAATTACGCGTAATTACGCATTTATTACGTTTACGAAAGAAAGATTAGTTTCGCGTAATTAAGGCGTAATTACGAGCCACAATGTAAAAATTTAAACCCCCCCCCCATCCCCTACAGAATCCTTATTTACGCTCCTGTGAAATATTAACAAGTCGTTGAAAATTGAAAATTTATAGATTATGTTGTTGGCCCTTTGTTAAACTTCTTAGTTTTCGAACGTGAAAATTACATCAACATAGTATTGGCTGAAATTTCTGATTCAACTTGTGTGACATTATTTTCCTTGTAAGTTAGTTGTTTTATTTAAATTAAAAGTTAAAACTTCAAAATTTCATAGACCTAATTATTGCAAAATTTCGCGCAATTACCTCGTAGAAATTACGCGAACTTAGGCCGTAATTACGCGTAAATATAGTTTCGCTTATTACGCGTAATCATTACGAAATTTCGCGAAATTACGTTGGAGAAATTACGCGAAATTACGCCGTAATTTCGCGAAATGAATATTTCCCCAATTACGCGTAATCCTGCGAAATTACACGAAATGAAAATTATTACGCGTAACTGCACGTAATTACGCGTAAGAGAATAATCTATTACGTTGGAAACCCTATTTATTAGTCCTTTCGGTACATTTCGTTATATAAGGATGCCTCTTGGCCTGTCAAACGCCGGAAGCGTCTACAGCCGGATATGTTGGACCTGGCCCTGGCGCACTTACCTGTGGAGTACTGGTTATCATATTTGGACAACATCCTGGTGTACTCCATGGACACCTGGGACCACTTGAAGCATCTGAAGAGTATCCTGGAGGCGCATACAAAGGCAGGGATCAAGATTCAACCTAAGAAGACCAAGATATTTCAGACAGAATTCTAATACTTAGGACATAAAGTGAATCAGGGCTGAGTACAGATGTTGGATCAATATGTGAAAGATATATAGAGTTGGCCACGTCCCACTAGTTGCAAGGAAATGTTGTCATTCCTGGGATTCACGGGTTATTACAGAGGTTTTATTCCCAGATTCTCGGCTTTGACCAACAGGATGAATAGTCTTAAGAAGGCAGAGAAATTTGTGTGGACTGAAGATATGGAGAAGGATTTCCTAGAGTTGAAGGCAGAGTTTTCAGCAGGGCCTATACAAGCTTATCCCGATTTTGATTCAAATGAACCTTTTATTCTTA